GAGTGTTGGTTCAAAAAGCCTGCAGAGAGTAACGTCGCTAACTTAGAGAAGAAAAGTGAAGATGACTGGGACCCCGTAGCGTCTCTAGCTTTGGAGGAAGAATGGGACGCAAAAGCATCATCTTGTTGGTGCTTAGAAAATGAGGCATTGCCCGATTCGAAAGAGATTGAAGATACGTTGCAGGGGAAACTGGGAGACCAAGCTGCCCAAATCCAATCAAGTCCAGATGAGTTAGAAGATTGCTTGCTGGAGATGATGTCAAGCAAGAAGTACCCAAGAGTCCTTGGCAAACTGGTGTATATCAACAACCAGGAGAAGTTAGACCTAGTGAGGTGGAAGAATCAACTCCACAATCACAACTAAGGAGGTCAACAAGAGTACAAAAGCCAAATCCTAAATATGTCAATGTTGTTATAGTTGATGGAGCAGTAAAAGAACCTGAGACGTTTGAAGATACATCACAGAGTTCTGAATGGATAAGATGTATGGAAGAAGAAATCACTGTGATTAAGTAGAATCAAACTTGGGATTTGGTGCCAAAGCCAAGGGATGTGAAACCCATATCCTGTAAATGGGTGTACAAGGTAAAATATCGTCCTGATGGTTCAGTTGAAAGGTACAAGGCTCGGTTGGTGGCTCGAGGCTTCTCTTAGTAGTATGGACTAGACTATGATGAAACGTTTAGTCCAGTAGCAAAGCTTACGACCATACGAGTCCTACTTGCACTTACAGCTAATAAAGATTGGAATATATACCATATGGATGTGAAGAATGCTTTCTTACATAGAGAGTTAGATCAAGAGATCTACATGATGGAGCCAATGGGCTTTGAAAGCAAAGCTCATCCCGAGTATGTGTGCAAGTTAAGGAAAGCACTATACGGTCTGAAACAAGCACCAAGAGCGTGGTACGGTAATATTGTAGAGTTTCTCACACAAAGTGGTTACTCAGTGGCGCATGTAGACTCCAGCTTATTGCAAGCACCAAGAGCATGGTACGGTAAGATTGCAGAGTTTCTCACACAAAATGGTTACTCATTGGCGCATGCAGACTCCAGCTTGTTGCAGAAGTTTGGGATGCTTGAATGCAAACCAATCTCAACACCAATTGAACCTAATGCCAAGATGTGTGCACATGAAGGCAGAGACTTGGAAGATGCAACAATGTATTGACAATTGGTAGGTAGTCTAATTTACTTGACTTTGACTCAACCTGACATTTATTATGCAGTTGGTGTGATGAGTCGGTACATGTAAATTCCAAAAAAGCCTCATCTAGAAATAGTTCGACGAATATTGAGATATGTAAATAGTACAATTGACTATGGTCTCTTGTACAAGAAAGGTGAAGACGGTAAGTTGGTTGGCTATTGTGACGTAGATTTTGCAGGAGATCATGACACCAGGAGATCGACCACTGGGTATGTTTTCAGAATTGGTTCTGGAGTAATTTCATGGTGCAGCAAGAGACAACCAACAATGTCTCTGTCAATTACAGAAGCAGAGTATAGAGCAGCAGCAATGGCAACACAAGAGAATGCATGGTTGGTATAGTTGATGAGTGATCTACATCAACCAAAAAATTATGCAGTGCCATTGTATTGTGATAACCAATCAGCAATTCGCTTGGCGGAAAATCCATTCTTTCATGCGATAACTAAGCATGTGGAGGTACATTACCATTTCATTAAAGAGAAGGTCTTGTAAGAAAAGATTGAGATTAGACAGATCAATACAGATGATCAAATTGCAAACTTGTTCACAAATGTTTGAGTGCTAGCAAATTCGAAAAGTTCCGTCATCAACTCAACATGGAGGAAAGAAAGAGCTGGTGTTGAGGGGGAGTGTTGAAAGTACAACACCAGCCCATTATGAAGTCTTGATGTTCTAGATGAATTATACATGGGATTTTGCTAGAAAGCTCTAGCAAGCATGTCGGTGGCTCACTAGCTAGAAAGATCTAGCTATTTGTACAATTGTGAGGTTGTCATGCAAAGCCCATGTCGGTGGGCTGATTGTAGAAAAGCCTAGAATAATGCTAGGACGAAATGAGCCATGTTAACCAACTTAGTAAGTCGGCAAATATCAACTATAAATATGTATGCATGTGTGTTGGTGAGTAATTAAGAAAAACCAACCAACCAATCAAGTAGTAGGCAACCAAGTGAGAGTGAGAAGCAAGAATAGTCTTGTAGGAGTGTGAGTGGTCTAGAGTGTGTCTCTAGAAGTGAGTGAGTGTCATAGCTTCTAAAGAGTGTCCTTGAGAGTGTGTTGTAATATTTTGTAAGTGTAATACAAGTAATTTGTTTACTTGTGTTGTCTCTCCAACACTTGTGTTAGAGTTGTGTACTCTAGTCTTTCCTCAACATGAAGCGCCTAAAAGGAGAGCGAAAAGAATCCACTCGACAACAAAATTTGAGAAATGAATCATGACGGATAAGCTTTACCTCTTCCGGTATTGGTTTTAAGTTCTCGTTCGTGTATCCCACATAAGGAGGTATCAGAGCTCTCCTCTTTCCTGAAATGCAAGCTTTCAGATGTGAGTACTTCTTACAAGTTCAAGCAAGCGATAGTGAGAATCAAGAGAGGATATCTGGTTAAAAAGCGCAATATTGAACGGAAAGAGTGAAAAAACCAGCATATAAGTAGATATTGCAGTTGTTAAAATTATAGCCTCAGAACTTACCTCCAGTTTTCATGCCAACCAGAACCTCCTTCAAGCCTTCTATAATCTGAATACGCAATTAGGTAATACGTTAATGGCATGTTCATCGAAAAGAAGTCTTGAAGTCTAGACATGTCACATTGAAACAAGAGTTGACCTGTTTTTCATCCAAAGGGAGTATCACCGGTGCGCTTTCTCCACTGAATTGATCAACAGTGCTACACAAAAAACACATTTCCATTCAGAAAAGTTGAAGACTGAAGACCGAAGTATGATATACTTGTGCGAAAACAAAACAGAAGATGTTGCATTTGTGACAGAATTCAGTATTTACCTATGAACAAAATATCCGTTTGTGCGCCTGCAAACGTAGTTAATTTCAACCAAATCTCCTTCATGGGCTATTGGTCCTTGACCTTCAACAATCTCTACAAAAAAGAAACCAGTGATTAGTTGACCTCAGGAACGAAAAAAACTAATTACATGGCTGCAACATTCCTATTTGCTTGGACAATGTATGACATTTTTCCAAAGAGAATGCGGATTCAGAGCTTCGAAATACGGAAAATTGATAAGGTTGAATAGTCATTGAACATCTTATTCATGGGTAAGAAAACATCAGTGAAACCGCTCGCCTTATCCGCCTCAACATACCAAATACCCCAAAACCATTCCTGAGCAGATATTTAACCATATGAATTCTGCAGAATATGTACCTTGAACCCTCACGCCGCTGGGAAGCTTTACGGTCCTGAGTGCTTCAATTTCCAAGCAACAATCGCATATGAGACATAATTTTCGAATAAGAAGCTCAACATAACCTTTGGCTCCCAAGTTGGATCTACATTTCAAGTACAAATCGAGAACCAAAGACCGAGAAACAAAATTTACCGAATGATTTCAGGCTCCTTCATCTCTGGCATTGGCGCAGCAAAAACAGGATTTGAGAATAGAACTGGGCAGAATCCAATGTACTGCAAAAACAGCCTTCTTGGTAATCTTTTCGCCGTGGATGAGTGAACTCGTTCATGCAAGTTCTTAGCCACATTGTTCTTAGATTTATCTTTCTCAACATAACTGGTTTAAGCACACAACAAAGTAATCAACAAACTCCCACAAAATTGAAACCAAAATATCAATTGCCAGATGACATAAAATTTGATCACTGCAAACCTCTAGATGCTAATTAAACTCCAACCATATCTGTGACATAAAATTTCGTTTTCTAACTAGCACCTACAAGTAACATTACCATATTTTCAACGTGTTACAGTTGCAGTATTTCGAGTCAATCATACACTATCACGTGAAAAAAGTTAAAACACATGACAATACGTGAAGGACTTGAGATATCACCTCATTGACATCACGTTGTACGTAAGTTTCTCGCGGGAAACCAATATACGAGTATGACAAGGATTTACCTTAGTGTTTTTCTGGGAGCCGATGGGAGCTGAAGTAGGGTTTGGAATGAGAGAGCTTCCATTTGCCAGTTGAAGAATTTGGAGATAGATGGATAAACTGGGACCTCAAAGGTGGGAGGCTTGAGAGATCAGGGAGGATTTTTTTGCTACTGTGTATTGATGTCCATAGAAAACAATATGGACCGTTCTTTTGGAGCCATGGAAGAAGTCGGTAAAGTGTGAAGTTTTGACTCCAAGTCAACGCAAAAAAAAATAAATAAATAAATTGTAAAAAATATCAACCATTACTTTCAAAAAAAGAAAATTAACCCTACTTTATGATCCATGTTGATTGATTTGAAAATGAAAAGTATTTTAATTTAGTCGTATTTTCTTTGCTAATGTTAAAAGTTCAAATCCGAAGATGTAATTTTTATTCACAACGAGACATAAGTATGAAAAAAGAAAAAGAAAAATTACATAAGAATAGGACGAGACCTCATATTCCAATTATATCTGTAACTAACAATCAACGACAAAAAAACTTACTTAAAAAAGACTGAACCCAAACTGTATTACAACAACCCAAGCGAGCTAAATTACTGATATCAGCAATAAAATTCTTTTCAAAATAAAATATCTCGAATTTTACAAGATCAATTTTGATATATAAAAGCACGATAATTCAATACCAAACTTCTTTGGTCCTATTTTTTTTTTTTAATTTTGTTGCAAAATATCAACACAAAGCCCAAAACTCTCTCCTTCGAACGGTCCAAACCGACACGTGGCACCACAGCGCAGGTGTTCCCTACGCGTACGCGAACCAACCCCGAAAATTCCTGTTAAAAAACAGATCCAATTAATTAGCAAAAAATAGCAATCGAAAGATCTAGAAACCCTAGTGAAGTCTCCTATATAACTCCTCGCCTCCCTTACTCTTTCAGAAGTAACTACCTCCTCAGCTCTCTTTACGACGTCGTCTCCAAAACCCTAGATCTTCCGAAAACCCTAGCACGCAAGATCAATGGCAGAGGCTGAGACGTTTGCCTTCCAGGCCGAGATCAACCAGCTTCTGAGTTTGATCATCAACACCTTCTACAGCAACAAGGAGATCTTTCTCCGTGAGCTCATCAGCAATGCCTCTGATGTGAGTCTTCTTATCCTCTTTGCTTTCGAATTCGGTGTTTTGTAGGGTTTATTGTATGAATCTTTGTGTTGTATGTTTGCATTTGGAATTTGGGCGTTTAGATTCTGTTTGCCTTTGATGAGAGATCTGAACATGTTGATTTTGATGTTAAAGTTTCTAGTTTTGCTCTGTAATCGTTGGTTTTGTTCTATTTAATCGATAGTTATTGATGAAATACTGTAGCTCGTCTGATTAAGGGTGTCCAGGTTTTAATTAACGATATGGTTTTTATTAATCATGGGATTATCTAGTTCATCCTTAAGACCAATTATTAATTTCAATTGGGTATAAATTTAATATTTCTGTAAGAAGGATTCGCCTTTTAATCTTGGTGTGTTTATATGTTACTGGCTTCTAAAAAAGTAGTTGTTTTTATTGGTTAGGTGCAGATGCTTTTTGAAATCGATGTCGAAATTTATGCAATTAGTATACTTGGTTCCTGTTGAATGGGTCTTCTTTTGTTGAGATAGATGAAACTGGTATTTGTTGTATTTACTTGTTTATGTTATGTACGCAGGCCCTTGATAAGATCAGATTCGAGAGCTTGACTGACAAGAGCAAGCTCGATGGTCAGCCGGAGCTCTTCATTCATATCATCCCTGACAAAGCCAACAACACATTGACCATTATTGACAGTGGTATTGGGATGACCAAAGCTGGTACGTTGATTGGGCTATTCAATTTGTTATTTGATTCTAATCCAGTTGGGATTTTTTACTTATGGTTTTAATTTTGATTTGTATTGTCAGATTTGGTGAACAACCTCGGTACCATTGCTAGGTCTGGCACCAAGGAATTCATGGAAGCCTTGTCTGCTGGTGCTGATGTTAGCATGATCGGTCAGTTTGGTGTTGGGTTCTACTCTGCATACCTTGTTGCCGATAAGGTCATTGTTACCACCAAGCACAATGACGATGAGCAGTATGTGTGGGAGTCACAGGCTGGAGGCTCTTTCACTGTGACCAGGGACACCACTGGTGAGGTTCTAGGCAGGGGTACAAAGATCACCCTTCACCTTAAGGAGGACCAGCTTGAGTACCTTGAGGAGCGCCGCCTCAAGGATTTGATCAAGAAGCACTCTGAGTTCATCAGCTACCCAATCTCACTCTGGATTGAGAAGACCACAGAGAAGGAGATTTCTGATGACGAGGATGAGGAAGAGAAGAAGGAAGAGGAGGGAAAGGTTGAGGAAGAAGACGAAGAGAAGGAAAAGGAAGAGAAGAAAAAGAAGAAGATCCAGGAGATTTCTCATGAATGGTCGTTGGTTAACAAGCAGAAGCCTATCTGGATGAGGAAGCCAGAGGAGATCACCAAGGAAGAATACTCCGCATTCTACAAGAGTCTCACCAATGACTGGGAGGAGCATCTTTCTGTGAAGCACTTTTCAGTTGAGGGTCAGCTTGAGTTCAAGGCCATCCTTTTTGTTCCCAAGAGGGCTCCATTCGATCTGTTTGACACCAGGAAAAAGCCCAACAACATCAAGCTCTATGTACGCCGTGTCTTTATCATGGACAACTGTGAGGAGTTGATGCCCGAATACCTTGGCTTTGTTAAGGGTATCGTCGACTCTGAGGATCTTCCTCTTAACATCTCAAGAGAAATGTTGCAGCAGAACAAGATCTTGAAGGTCATCCGTAAGAACTTGGTTAAGAAGTGCATTGAGATGTTCCAGGAAATTGCTGAGAACAAGGAGGACTACAACAAGTTCTACGAGTCATTCTCCAAGAACCTTAAGCTCGGAATCCATGAAGACTCCCAGAACAAGACCAAGCTTGCTGAGTTGTTGAGATACCACTCTACCAAGAGTGGAGAGGAGATGACCAGCCTGAAGGACTATGTCACAAGGATGAAGGAGGGCCAGCAGGACATCTACTATATTACTGGTGAGAGCAAGAAGGCCGTCGAGAACTCTCCATTCCTAGAGAAGCTGAAGAAGAAGGGATTTGAGGTTCTCTTCATGGTTGATGCCATTGATGAGTATGCTATTGGTCAGCTCAAGGAGTTTGAGGGCAAGAAGCTTGTCTCAGCCACCAAAGAAGGTTTGAAGCTTGACGAGAGTGAGGACGAGGCCAAGAAGAAGGAAGAGCTCAAGGAGAAGTTTGAGGGACTCTGCAAGGTCGTCAAGGATGTCTTGGGCGACAGAGTTGAGAAGGTGGTTGTGTCTGACCGTGTAGTCGATTCTCCCTGCTGTTTGGTGACCGGCGAGTATGGCTGGACTGCTAACATGGAAAGAATCATGAAGGCTCAGGCTTTGAGGGATAACAGCATGGCTGGATACATGTCTTCCAAGAAGACCATGGAGATCAACCCAGAGAACCCGATCATGGAGGAGCTCAGGAAGAGGTCTGATGCAGACAAGAACGACAAGTCGGTGAAGGACCTTGTCCTCCTCCTGTTCGAGACTGCTCTTCTCACCTCCGGGTTCAGCCTCGACGACCCCAACACCTTCGGCAACAGGATTCACAGGATGTTGAAGCTCGGACTGAGCATTGATGATGATACCGTCGAGGGCGACGCTGACATGCCACCATTGGAGGACGCTGATGCCGACGCAGAGGGCAGCAAGATGGAGGAAGTCGATTAAGTTTCGGAGTGTTTCAAGTTTTAACTCCACCCGCCCAACCAGCAGTAGTATTTTTTTTACCCCACCTTGTTAAGTAGTAATTTTTATATTTTCTTTCTAACGTGTCTAGTTTTAAGTTTGGATATTTTTGGATGGTTGCTACTGTTTGGTATTCGGATATTTATAATGAATGCGTTTTGGAACAATTCTCTCGTAAGGATCTCTTGTTAATGGTTTTGCTTGGTTTTTCTTACTTTTTAATTCTAAATTTATGTACTTTTAGTTTTAGATGGGCATATTTTTGGATGGTTTCCTTAACTTGTATCGAATGGGTCCTTGTTACTGTTCTGTCCACCCACAAAAGCAAAAGTTGCTGGGGTTGTGGCAGTGAACCTTATTCTGTCCACCTGCAAAAGCAAAAGTTGCTGGGAGCGTCATCGTGGCAGTGGACCTTTTCATATGGGTTTTCTTGGAGTAAAAGATGAATAACACTAGAATTTTGTTTTACCGGCGTTTTCGTTTTGCCTTCTTGTTTAATGGGAAGTTGATACCTTGTTGGGTTCGCTGCTGGATCTAACAATAATTTGGGTTGAGTTGGGTATGTTTATAAATTAAGGGTGCGTTTGTTGCACCGAATTATCTTGAACTGGACTAACTTCAAGGGCTAAGCTGGACTGACTTAAAATAGATTAAGCTAAACTAACTTAGTGAAACGTTTGATGTAGTGTCATACTAAGAAGCTTGAACTGGACTAACTTCAAGGGCTAAGCTGGACTGACTTAAAATAGACTAAGCTGGACTAACTTAGTGAAACGTTTGGTGTAGTGTCGAACTAAGAAGCTGGATAATGAAAAAAATAAAAATAACCCATGCCACAGTTCTCTCGGACATTTCCCCGTTTCATCAAACACCTCTTAGGCACTTTCCAAATTACCCTTTTGCAATACTCATTGATCAATTGAATTCACAATCAACAAATGACTTTATTTTCATTCCTTTTGTAATGAATTTCTTTCTCATTGGTCATGAATTCACAATCATACCACAACAAAATCAAATTCAAGTGGAGAAATTGAAAACTATCAACTAGAAAAGGAGAAGCACTCACCATTTTTCGGCAACGGTGGCGATCTTGGCAAGCTTGTACTGGTTCAGAGACGACGGGGGAAGGAGAGTGAGGATTTAGCGGCGGTGGATTCAGAATTGCTGAGATTGCTCTGTGAATGCTCAAGATTTGTGGGCTGAGATTGCGGTGGAGAATTGTGCAGCTGGTGTGTGGTGCTCGAAAGCCATAACCATGCATTTTGCTGAGAGAGAGTGAATTGAACGAAGAAGAAAGGAAAGGAGTCAGTGGATTGTTTTTTTCAGTTTTTGTTTGAGGTTTGGGTTTAGGCTTTTGGGTGGGATAGTGAAGGCCCAAGGGAGTGGGCGAAGGTGCGAAGGAGAAGGGAGAGGGCAAAGGGGCGAGGGAGAAGGGAGACGACGAGGGATCAACGGCGGGGGAGAGAACGAGACTAGCAGTTCGCTCGAAATCGAGGGGTCTCGCTAAGAACGTTTAGCAAAGCGTTCAGTCAGGGTGAGTCCCCATTAGTCTCATTAAAACTAGTCCAGTGTGGACAACAAACACCGGATTGGACAAAAAATGTAGTATAGTCCAATGACACCTAAGAAGGTCAAACAAATACACCCTAATAGGACAATTTTCCTTTGTTGACATCCATTGACAAATACGAAAGAGCGCGATCATATAGTAGTTAACTCTACATATTGGTTGCGAAAGTGAATTTAGATTAAATATGGTGGTGTATTCGACTCCAAGTTTGTTATCTTATCTCCAATTCAATTGTTGATTGTCCCCTCAAGATAACAATTTTCTTGATTGATTTGCTAGAACCATCCTTTCAAAGCGCATAGCAATCAATTTTAAATTTCCCGTGTAGTACGGTACATTCAATTCTAACTATCAGTTGTGAATATGAATTTACATTAAACATGGCAGTGTACTCAACGCTGCTAACCACAACTTTGTCGTCTTCTTTCAATTTCAACATCAAAAGCAGATATATGGCTGGAAATTCCTCGTTAGATCAGATTTTCTCTAGCAAAAAGAAACTTTCAAAAGTATGAACAACAAATTGCAAAATAAGAAAGAACTTAATACTGGTTTGGTATTGAGGTACTTCTATAAAAAATGGGTATAAAAAACAGCTGAGCACAAAAAGATATTTGGTAAACACTTATAAACAATTTATTTTCACAATTTCGGATGAAAAAAAGCTAAAAATGTGAAGCAGCAAAAATGAGCTTATTCTCACAGCACAATAGAAGCAGTGTTTTTTTCAAAGTCCAGCAATACCAAACCAGCCCTACACTCTTCTATCTATCAAGTCCCAAAATCATACTAACGTAGTCTTTGCCTACAATTCAAATTCAGTCTAATAAGAAGCCGAAATCTTAAGCTACATTATACTTAAAACGCAACTTAAGTCGTCGTCGAGCATAAAACACACAGCCGAAAAATATTTCAAAAGAAACAACGAATATGATGGTGTTAAATTTTCTACTAGGCCCTTTTACACAAGTGCGAGCCCCTCCCATTCTTCAGAAACGTGCAACCCACACCAAGTGAATCAAAGAATGATGTCTCTTGGAGCTTAAAAACGGAAATTTTCCACTTCAGGTGTCGTCAACTTGCGAGTGAAATACAAAGCTCGGGAATGTTGTGGTGATGTCTCTGCCCAAGACACAAAACACATGGTGGTCAGTAAGTGTATAACAGCATGTAGTCGAGTCTGTTACAATGCGTTCAATTAAATCTTGAATTTAGTACTTGTAAAGATTTAGAAATATATTCAGTTTAATGTTTTTCGTTGGCAATGGTCGGTTACTGGATGTTCGTCAAGGGCGAATCAAAACCAAAGCAGATGGGATACATATATATTGAGCCCTGTGGCTATAATAGTACACGAAATTACCAATGCTGATTTAAAAAATCTCGTGATGTTTCAAAATCTTTTCCACAAGACTTATCTTGTTGGTGTATGGCAGGAAAAATTTATCTTGTTCTGAGCAGGCATATAAAGTAGGGTAATTTGTAAGAACAATGTCTCGTGGGTCAACTGTAATCAAAATCATATCCGAAACTTACTTGAGGTATTGGAGCGTCATATTTTTAAGAAGCGATGGATGCCGCAAAACAAGGCTTCTCCACTCTTCCTTGTCGATCCTCCCATCATGTTTTGTATCAGCTTCCTCAAAGGTCTGAAACACATAGTTACAGAACAAGAAGAGCAAAAACCAAATCTACTTCAGTAACATACCAGGCACTCCTCCGTGCAACAAATATATCCAGGAAAATCATACCGAAACATCAAATTCTAAAGTTGGGTTGAGAAAGCACCTTATCAATTATGCTCTCTATCACATCATCTGAAAGATTCATGCCTGATTCTGCGAGGGTAGCCACAACCATTTGTTTCACCTAGATACAGATATACAAATAAGAATTAGTGAACTGTTTGAAAGAAACAGATAGAAACTCGATAAATAAATTGGGAGATACACAAGAGTTTACTCGGAAAATAAAATTATTACCTCCTGCCTTTCGATGAAACCTTGCTGTTTAAGGTCATATAACTGAAAAGAAACTGAAATTTGAAATTTTGAAAATTAGTACTCAAGGAAATAAAAAATGATACAAGACGGCGTTGAAACATATTAGAATTGAGCGTTAAAAAATTAAATGGCTGCATGAAATAAATTAACTAAAGAAAACGTACACTCAATCTTATCGTCAATTGGGGCATTGGGATGAAAGACAGAGAGAGCTCGAGCAAACTCTTCAAAACCTAGTATTCCATTGTGCTTTGTGTCAAACAAGTCAAAAACCTGCAATAACAAGCAATAATAAGTAACGGCCTATCCAAGCCACTTAAGACTTGGCAAATGCCTTATGATGGACATTTGGTGGACCGTGGAACAGATAATCAAGATGATGAAACTAAAGAAAAGAATATAGCAGAATGTGATGAAGATGTAATATCTCACAGAAAACGTACACGATCAGCAAACAAGCTCTCTTTCTTGTTTGTCTTGAATAATGCCAGTTGAAATTCCTCCTACACCATGGCATAAAAGAACAACTTGAGAAAAAAGAATACAAGAATGCATGGAATAGAGAAAAGTAAACTTATGTTAATGTGCAGTACCGAAATACAATTCTAACTCAGTGTGAATGTGAAAAGCATTGCCTAATAAACAGAAAGATTATGCGAACCTTGTTAATCAACCCGTCATCAATCACTGCACTGCTGATCTTCTTAAATAGCTCGTAAAGTGCCTCTATTTCACTCACGCTGACTGCATTTAATAAGGAACAGTAATTTTCAGTAGAATGAGAATCGATTGTTTAGATCTAGAACTAACATTGTGGGTCGGTAGATAGACACATTAAATTAAAAATTGCTAATTTCATGGGTGAAATGGCATACACGGTCTCCCTTGCTAGAATTTCAGGGTCTTCTAATCCTCTCGATTGTTTGTACAAGTCAAGATCACAGCACCTCAGCAGGGAAGCACATAAATGCTTGAACCCGTCTATGCACTGCAACATGATATTTTCTGCAGATCAAAACACTCCATACCTGGTTCACATGAAAAAAGGAAAACCAAAACATGAGACTACCTTAAGTATTTATATAGAAGATAGGATTCTAAAGCATGTAAATAACAGAACAAACCTTTTAACCATTTCCTGCTTCTTCTAACTCACGGCCCGAACCCCAAGATCTATTAAATTTGGCGCAGCCAAAGCTGTATCTGATGTAAAGCCAGAGGTAGTAGCTGAACTCAAACAAGTAGAAGATAGATTAAAACCATCTCATTCACAAGTTTTCCGCTGCTAAAGCCCAAAAACAAGGGTAAACACACAATTACTAAACAAGGGAATGTATATGATTCGACCAACGAAAACTTTCTAAAATCATGAAGAACAGTCCTATACACAAACCCAATCCTAATTTAAAATTTATACAATTTTCCATCGTAAAAAGAGCAAAACCTTCATGATACACGCATCCTAGGAGTACAACTTACACTACATCACCTCAGCTAAAAACAATCTTCTAATTCCATATACCACAACGTTTTCGGAGTCTTAACATCTAACAGGATTTGAATAGAAACAAACATGCCGAATTTTTCTACCGATTACAACCCACATAATTAAACAAAATTTCATTTTAGACCATGAAATTGAAACACCACTTATGAATCTTTTTTCCTAGCTCACCGAACTCGCACCCAAATTGGCATTTCGATTGTTTTCGAAACACATGACTGAGAAACAATCCGATAATAAAACACATCCGAAAGCGAAGACGAATAAATGTACGAAATTTCGCACTAAATTTCAGCTTAGAAATCACGGAAAGTGACTCCTGAATCCGCAATTCATTTCCACAACCACTCACAAATCGATAAATCAAAATACTCACAGCAATGAACAGAAACATATGTAATTAAGCTCGCTATCCTCGAATCCGAATCCGAGATCCAACGCAACAAACCAAAGCCAATTGAAAGACACAAAATTTAAACAGCAGGAGCTCAGCGATCTGTTTTGCGCCCGAGAAAATCAGAGATAAAATTGAAAACAGATTCGGAGAATTGAAGAACAAGTACAGATTCGATATTTGGAGAATTATATGAAAAAAGTTGGAAACTTTACTTTGAGAGAGAGGGGGGAAGGCGTCACGGTGGCTGAGCAAGCTGTGCGGCGGAGAAGGCGGTGGCTTGCGATCTCCGTGCAACTCGCGGTGGTTGTAGCGAAAGAGGAGTTACGAATGTTAATATGATAGAGAGAAGAAGAGGAGGAAGAAGAGCACGAGTTGGAGTTGTTTAGAAGGTTTTTTATGATGCGGAAATTTATGGAACGACGGCGTTTGATGGCGATCAAATCTTTTCCGTCCAAAATAGGTGTCATTGTATGTGACTCAATCATTGATTAACACGTACTTATAAACTTAACTTTTTATTTTATTTTATTGTAATAAATTTAATACGTGTCAAACAATAATTGTAATTATAAAGTGACCGTACATATTTTGAGCACAGAAGATTTGATTTCGTTTTGGGATTTGGATCCTCTCTGAGGCAACTGGTCGAGATCATCCTGATCAGTGTTCGTGGACCGTTGAATTTTTATTCAACGGCTACAATTATTATAACTTTGAGAGGACCTTATGTTTGTAGTCGTTGGATAAAAATCCAACGGTCCACGAACACTAATCGGAGGATTCGACCAATTGCTTCGGAGAGGATCCAAATCCTTCGTTTTGATAGGTGGATGGGCAGATTGCCACCTGCGGCTAGTGAATCATTAGGGGTACTTTGTTTGCTGTTTATTTTTTGTTTCTTTTTTTTTTCATTTTTATTTGTTTGTGGAAAAAGGAATGTTTGTTTTGGATTGGGGGCAATCATGCATTTTAACTTTCTAAAAAAAGTCTTCAAAACAATTATTTGTAGCAAAATTGCCACAACACCTATTAGTTTAATCACTATCATCATTACTTTTAATTAAGACCGTTAAATTTAAAAGAATCCAAGAGCTAATAAGGATTGTAAAATTATTTGTCAAAAGTTTGTCCATTGATCCTAAACACCAATATGCAAGGAGTCTCATTCTCCAAGGATATTTGTGACTCTTAGAGCGTTTCTAAAGGAGATGTTAAATTTTAAACAAAAAATTTAAATTTAAAGCTTATGTGACACTTTGATCAATTTTTAAATTTTGTTATGTCAAATTTAAATTGTTATTTATTACATTTTTTTTACTTTTTAAAATTGTAATATGCATTTTTTTTATAACAAAAACTACCAATAAATATGTTTGAAGTTGTTGTCAATCCATATCATGCCATAGGAATTACCATTTCGGTTGGAGTATACTAATGCTGTATTTTTTTTACTATTATTGTTGATGTGGATTTTTTAACTCCTCTTTAAAGATGCTCTTAGTTGTATTTGTTTTATATAAGATGCTTTTAGATTTTTATGATTTTCTTAATATATTTATCTTGAGATTTTTATAAATTTTATGATAATTGTGTTGTCGTGACTCATGCTAGTTAATATATTGAGTTTGACAACAAAATCAAGTTTTTAAATTTTGTTATGTCAAATTTAAATTGTTATTTATTACATTTTTTTTACTTTTTAAAATTGTAATATGCATTTTTTTTATAACAAAAACTACCAATAAATATGTTTGAAGTTGTTGTCAATCCATATCATGCCATAGGAATTACCATTTCGGTTGGAGTATACTAATGCTGTATTTTTTTTACTATTATTGTTGATGTGGATTTTTTAACTCCTCTTTAAAGATGCTCTTAGTTGTATTTGTTTTATATAAGATGCTTTTAGATTTTTATGATTTTCTTAATATATTTATCTTGAGATTTTTATAAATTTTATGATAATTGTGTTGTCGTGACTCATGCTAGTTAATATATTGAGTTTGACAACAAAATCAAGTTTTTAAATTTTGTTATGTCAAATTTAAATTGTTATTTATTACATTTTTTTTACTTTTTAAAATTGTAATATGCATTTTTTTTATAACAAAAACTACCAATAAATATGTTTGAAGTTGTTGTCAATCCATATCATGCCATAGGAATTACCATTTCGGTTGGAGTATACTAATGCTGTATTTTTTTTACTATTATTGTTGATGTGGATTTTTTAACTCCTCTTTAAAGATGCTCTTAGTTGTATTTGTTTTATATAAGATGCTTTTAGATTTTTATGATTTTCTTAATATATTTATCTTGAGATTTTTATAAATTTTATGATAATTGTGTTGTCGTGACTCATGCTAGTTAATATATTGAGTTTGACAACAAAATCAAGTGTTTTGAGTGAAACAATAGCGTTAGTAAGTTAAATGTTAGATTAGCCACCGAAGAGGTTCGAACTCACGCCATCATATAAGGTTAAATGTTAGATTAGCCACTGACGAGGTTCGAACTCAAGCCATCATACAAGGGCACAACACCTTTCCGCCACTATGGTAAATGACCACTTGCAACAAAATCAAGTGTTCATTCCTTATTACTCCTTTTTAAAACTTAAATATTCAAAAGGTAAAAAAATACTCTGACGAAATAATTTGAAAAAAAAAAATGTACCAAAAAGATGTTAAAACAAATCAAAACTGCAAGATGTGGTACTTAAGTGGTTAAGAACACCACTTAAGTACCAAGATCCTTGGCTGCCTAGACCTCATACATTTAAGGTGAGGTCGAAACATGTGGAAATGCCGGTGATGGTAGATGCTTTGATTGATTCGGACCGGGGGGGTGTGGAAGGAGGATCTTATACGGAGGGTCTTTGAGGAGGATGAAGGTAATATCATTCTTGGGTTACCTGTAAGTTTAATGGGGTGCCCGGATAGAATTATATGGCACTATTCAACTAATGGTACCTATACGGTTCGAACGGGTTATGGTATTGCCGTGGATATGGGGGAAAATGGGGAGCTTGGAAGGAAAGGGATGGGGGGAGGGAGTAGGGGGGATGTGGGTGACTGGAGCTGGAGGGATATATGGAGATTAGAGGTTCCAAATGAATTGAAATTCTTTATATGGCGAAGTTGTAACCATTCCTTGGCGGTGCGATGTAACCTTCTTAAACGCCGAATGCAAGTGGATAGTAAGTGTGCTATGTGTGGAGAAGCGGAGGAGATGGAGCATCACTTGTTCTTCCAATGTGCATTTAGTCGTGTGCTATGGTATTCTTGTTCCTTGCAGCTGGATGTGGCATCTGTGGAAGGCAGGGATTTCTGCGAGTATTGGCAGATGATCTGTGCTTGGTTCCGTGACAATGACCAAAAGGAGGAATTGATGCAGGAGTGTGTGTTTATCATGTGGCGCATATGGAAGAGCAGGAATGAAATGGTGTTTAAGGGAATTTTGGTTAATCCCATGGAGATAGTGAATTTGGTGAGGTGTCACCTCTTGGAGTTTAGGGCTGGGCAATGCAGTAAGCGGAGTGTGGATGGAGGTGCTACGGAGGGGAGTGTTGACAGCTTTGCAGGGCAACGGGTTCGATGGAAGAGGCCTTATTTTGGGGTGATGAAGATCAATTGTGATGGTGCATGGTGTGGGAAAACATGCAGGGGTGGTTATGGGTGGGTTTTGTGGGATTTTGCTGGTTTGTTGCAAGCTGCTGGTGGGGAAGGGGGCTATTCTTCAACTCGGCAGCAATGGCAGAAGCTGCTGCTATCCGAGCTGCTCTGTGGGTCTGCTGCGAGCTAGGTTGTGCGGATGTGGAACTCGAATCTGACTCTCAGGTACTTATTCGAATACTTACGGGAGAGTACGTGATCGATGCTACTTTGGAATGCGTTATTCATGATATATGACTTTTGGTATCTCAATTTGGAAGGGTGAGGTTTGGTTTTGTTAAGCGGTGCGGAAATGCTGCTGCGCATGCCGTGGCCTCAGCTAAGAACATCTTTACTCCTCAAGTCCCACAGGGCATTAGGGAGGAATTGGACAAAGCAAATGCCTTTTTGTTCGCCTCACATAGAGGTGCTTTTTGTTGGGATGCAATTGGTCTGGAGTTTTTATTTAATATTCTTGCTCAAGATGTAAACGTTTCTTATAATCTAATAAAGTCTACCTTAGACAAAAAAAGAAAAAAAAAACAGTGGTTAAGAACACTTAGGGCCGATTTAGTACTCTACTCAAAAGTTTTCAATATTTTTAAAAATATTTCCGAAGACCATGCAACTCCTTGGAGCCGAAGGAGGGAGATCGAGACCGGAAGGGATAGGGGAGATAGCGGAATGAATGAGAGAGAGAGAGAGAGAGAGAGAGAGAGAGAGAGAGAGAGAGAGAGAGAGAGAGGAGAAGGGTGGGTTACAGTTTTGAATTCAGTTTTTTAAAATAATACTACAAACCAGAATTAAGGCTTGGGACTCAAAAATTGTTTTTGAGTTTAAAAAAAAATTAAATTTAAGTTGAAAACCAAACAGGAGCTCCTAGTTTCTAAGATGTGCAGTTTAGAGGATCAATAAAATTAAGGAAGTTTTAACATAATACTCTCGGTACTATTCATTTTTAATGAAAAATCACACTTTTATCTTTCTTGACTACTATTCACTACACCTTTATTTGTTATTTTTCATTAAAATTAATTTTTTTTTGAACTTTTCGTTAGTTTTCCTTAAAATTAAAGAATTATTGCGCATCATATTTTCGTTTTTTTAGTGTGCATATTCAGAGAAGTGGATATGACTGTAGCCATGGAAGGAAGAAATCAGCAATTGACTGACCAGGATTTACATATCATTGTCCTGCAACAATTGTACATAGCCCTCCCTACGTCTTCTTTTCCTTCATTTCTTTGTTGTTGTTTTCCTGCTTTACTTTATACATATATGGCTCCATAATTATCTGGTAAGGTGTTCGTAGCGGTGGCAGTGATAAGAGATCACCATCATGCGGGTGTGATTTGCATTGTCATGCATGCCTCAAGTTTAATCGCGAGGGCTGTGGAGAATAATTTGACTTTAAATTTTAGAATCAACTTGAAAAATTACCCGCGCGCTAATGCGCGTTTTGAAACCGTACTACAGGACATGCATAAATAATTTCGACATAAAGACATACAAATTGTTGATGATGGCCTTGAGCTTTCTCAGACTTATAAGTTTGTGTTGTGGAGCTTGGACGTGCATTGGTCTCGCAATTTGGGTTGGAAGAAAAAAGAAAGAGTGTTTCTTTTCTACAACTAATGCTAGAGTCTAAAGGAAAATAAAAGGCTTATTTTTAGCGACTCTTTCTAGAACTTGATTTTAATCTTACTTTTATTTTGTAACTCAAAAGTTATCACTTTACTCTCTGAAACTCAAAATTCGTTTCATTTTAACTTGTGGAGTCTCTCTTCTCCCTGAAACGTAAAAGTTTCTCCTATAACAGATGTGAGATCTACCACCCAATAAGATTATACCACATGTGCCAATGTATTTGATTATAAATATTTGCTATGCGTTAACGTTCAACAATAAGAAAATATTGTTAAAAAGAAGAAATTAAGAATTTGAATTTTTTTGGGTTGTTATGCTTGAGTTGCTGTGACATCCATTCTCGAGATTTATCATATTTTATTCTTAATAGTAGTGAAATTATCAAAATACCCCTAAGATGCCACGTAGGCCTTCCACGTGGATCTTAAATTTTTCCACTCTTATTTTACTATTTTTGAATAGTGCTCATTACGACCACTTGGCTGCAAACGAAACTCAATTTGGAATTATAACAAGTTATGCACGTTACCTCCTCTTCTTCTCACTATCATATTTAACATTCGTAACTCCTCTTTTGCTACGACCATTGCAAGTTGCACGGAGATCGCAAGTCACCGCCTTCTCCGCCGCACAACTTGCTCAGCCACCGTGATGCCCCAACCCCCTCCCCGGGGCAAGCCACCGCCTTCTCCGCCGCACAACTTGCTCAACCACCGCGACGCCTTCCCCCCCTCCCCCCCCACCCAAAACCCACTCTCAAAGTAAAGTTTCCATCTTGCTTAGCCACCACGAGTTGCACAAATACCCAAGAGATGCCGCGTGAATGGGTGGGTCTCCATTAGCCCCGTGCAAACGGGTAAGCCCTAGCTTGGCTCCACGTGGTTGTCGATGTGTGAAACTTCACGTGTGACCCATAAAAATAGGGTCTCACATGTTCATCTATCCCACATCTGTTAGAAGGCTTGAGGACAAGCCATTTAAATAGAATTATCTCATTCTAACTAACACCGATAACTATTATGCTAAAACCTCACACCTGACGGATTAAGTAAGTGACCAAATGAGGACAATATCGATGTCTACTTGAAATTTAAGACCCACCTCTGCCTCGTTCTTAAACCCTAAACCCTAACTAAAATAAAATAAAAATCCTGAACCCCAAAAACCTCGATTTCCTCCTTCACTTACACGTTAAACCAGTAGGTCTCCTCCCAACGCAGTTGCAAGAGCCCACCTTCACCACCGCGAGGCAGAACGTAAGCTCCCAAACTCCGAATTTTCCCGTTTCTGATTTGAATTTGGTATTTTGAGTGTTCCAAACCATGGAAGAGGAATTCTATACATAATTTGTCAAAACTTAATTTATCAGAGACTGATGATGCAAACTTAATTTCTTTTTCGTTTTTGTAGAATTAAAATTTGTTTGCTATGTTCTGTTCATGCTTTGGCATTCTGTTTGACTATAAATTTAACGACCTCAGGCTTCAGCTCGAACAAACCCTCATCCTCCTCCGGTCGCTTTAACCGAAACCAAGTCTGTACTCGAATCGAGGGATTTTCTGGTTCGAAATTTCCGGTTTTCTTTTTCTTCTCAACATGGGAAAACAATCAGGCAAGAACCTAGGTAAGTTTTTGTTTGGTTCCTTGCCCATGAACTGAATTAGCATGATTCTTTGTCTCCATTGCATCATTGAAATTGAATTTTTGTTCAATCTGTAGCTTCCCCTTCGTTTCCATTGCAATACTTACTGGCCAGACATTGTTGTGTTTCCTTAGCAGGATTTGGAAAACGCAAAATGCCCAACAGGTTCAACACGGGCAAGAAAAGTCGTCGTCTTGAAGAAGAAAATGTTGCACACAGTCCCTCGTCCACTTCCTCAGGTATTTTTACCTTTTTATGGTGTTTCTGAAGTCCGAATTCGTGTTAATTTTAACCTTTGGTCTTTGAAGAGAGTTGGCTTTTTTCCCCCTTTGTATCTGTTTTGAGAGTTTCCACCCAATTGTTACCTGCTGCTGAGTCTGATGATGCTGATTATGATGCCGCCGTGATTTGGGGAATTATCTCGGCCGCGCTTGATACTGAGACGGCGGCCGGAAAGCCCCCCTACGCCGTCCAAATGCTTGATCAGCAGATCTTTGAAGCCTCCGACTTCGCCTCTTCTACTGGTCGGACTGATACTGCTTCTCCTGCTGCTTATTAATCCCTCTTGAGCTTCCAAGTCGCTGTCTTTCTCTGCCAAAATGCCGGCGTTGTCGTCTTTGATAATGTCGCTGGAGGATTGCAGCAGACGAGTCTCATCGCTGTATTCCTCGCCTGACATCTTCTTCCCCAACACCACCACCACAACTTAAAACCCCAATCCCCCCTCTCTCTCCCCTCTTTCTCTCTCTACAATTCTGCAAAATCAACAGTCCTCTGGTTCCTCTCCATCTTCTACCTGTTCTGATTCACTGTGTAATTACACGCATTCCTTGTTTGCTTCAAAAACTTGCAATCTCAGTTTTTACCGTTCTCATTTGTCATTCTTGTTTTTGGATACACGGTACTACGCTTTTTTACTGTTTTCAACCTTGCGAGTCACCAAAACACCTGTGGTTATGCCTCTGGAGATATTTTTCTATGGAATCTGGATACTCCTTGTGAGGATTTCGGAGATCTGTCAATCGTGATCGTTAGGGGATCTATATTTGGTTAATGAATTGGAGATATTGATTTAATTGGCACTGTTTTCATATTCACATTCAAGATCTTTCTAATACAGGGGAACTACCAAACGAAGAATCTAACGGTGTGGTTTCTGAAGAAGAAACGGTTTATAAGGAGCCATCCATGTATGATAAACTGTTAATGACGCTGGGATCATCTAGTAAATCTGTTTCTGCTGCATATAAGCTGAGGTAAGGGTTTTCTCAAAGTCTGGGTTTATTTTCAGTTTTTTTTAGCGTCTACTTATATGGCTAAACTCTAAAAGGTATTTTTTTGTCCCCAACATTAAGTGTGCATAAGGCAGTGATTTTTGGGTTGTTTAAGCTTGTTTTGGTTCTTACGTGACCTCCAATTATTAGTTTCGTTATGCTCTGTTCTGTGACGTTTAAGGGTTGCATATAAAATTTGGTTTATAAGGTTTTGAGGCGCCTCTAGGAGTCAAGTACTCCTTTCTAGGGTGCACTTTGGATTTCACATTTGTAATTTCTCCGTATGTTGTAGTCTTCTGTACTTAGCAAAAGAAAACAAAGGATTGCGATGTCCTTTCCAATTCATTATGGACTCAATTTTGTTTGTATTGCCGGATTTTGGTTTGATGAGTTATGTCAGCACATTGTGACTAAGAAAAATATAAAGCTCAAAAAAGTTGGATTTACACCTGCGCTACATCTGTGTTTAGTTGATAGCAATCTAACTTGGTGCGTTCATTATTATGGCAGTTCAAAAAAGGAAATCTCTTCTCTCAATGTTATTAATTTGAAACTGGTTGATTCATTCAAGGAATTTACAACTAACATGTCGTCATCCACTTCTTTTTTGTATAGAAAAAGACAAGAAGAAGGTATAAGTGACTCTGAAAATTCCGAAGATGATGGAAGTGAATCTTCTAGTGACTCAGAGGATGCGGATAACGATGAAGAAGGTAGAACATTTATGTTTTATATTCAAATAGTAGAAAACAATTTTGTTGTTTCTGCCCTCCTAATTGTTTTGCAGACAATACTTGTGCATTTCCTGTTGTAAAGATACTGGCCTCCTGGATTCCACAATCTTTTTCATTATTTGTATTTTAAATAAGTAACCAAAAGCCCATAGTTGAGGTTCATATAGTCATGTATCAATATTGTATGGAAGGCATACATTACTGTAGTGAGCATGAGTGCTTACTTTTGTTTTTATCTCCTATGTGATATATGATTAAGATGTAGTCTTACTTCTTCATAAGCAGAGTCAGATTGATCTTTTGTGTTAGATTGTGCTGCACTCCATATTATTTAATTCATTCTCTATACTTGCATAGGAGTTGATGATGAAGACCCTGAAATGGCAGGAATTGAGGAGCATAGTGAAGATTCTGAAAATGAGGATGACCAGGAGACCTCTGCTTTTGATGATGAAGAGACTCATGATTCGGATGCAGAACAAGACCTGGGAACCAGTTCTCAATCTGCTGTTGAACCATCAATGTGCTTGAGGTGCATTTACATGAAATATCTTGTTCATTTGGATTTTGCATTTATATTATACGTTAACATTATTATTGTATTCCGTGTTAAGCTTGATGTAATCACCACTAGCTTTTATGTTTGTATATCTTCCCATTTTGGCATCTTTTTTAAATCAGATTGTATGCTTATATACACTTTATATTCCCCTATTATATCTTGTATTGAGCAGTTCCTTTGATATACACTGGGGGCACAAATTAACAAAAGCTGAGGTTGAAAATCTGTCAAAAAAGAAGTGGACATACGAGTGGGAGGTGCCTGCTGTTGGGATGACAAAGGGCAACTGGGCAGGAACAGGAGAGTGTTTTACAAAAGTATGTTACCCATTTATGACTTGCACTATATTCATTTTATGTCTGTTTGTAAAAGCTCTTGAAATGATCTCTTTTGCATTGGTTTTGTCCATTGAAGCGCCTTCCAGAGTAAAGGCAACAGAATCCACCTTTGTTCTTCCTTATCTATCATTCCTTCTGTTTAATAGTGGGAGCGATGATAGGAGTTGCTCTCTTCACACTTTGGAAGAACCACCTCTTAGAGCAAATCATACTTACTCTTATTGACAAACCACATTTGATCGAAATCTCCACAAGCTTAAACCTAAGAATACACTATTCCTCTTATTAACAAGTTCCTTTGGCCGACCCTTTTTCGTTTTGTTTTTAGGTTTTGCAGAATGTACTATATTTTATGATCCCCATCTTCTCACCACTCCTTTCTCTCAAAAAAAATCTCATCAACTTTCTGTTGGAAAGGAGCAGATTGTGGTGTGTTTTGTTCTTAAACGACAAAGTTTTAGGGGTTCCTCTTTGCTTTAATTCATCTAAAGTGTGGGGTGGTTATGAATTCATTCTCATGGTCCTCTCATACTTTCTGAAGTGTTATTTAGGCAGAGATGGATCCCTTGTGTTTCACCTTCAGGGTTTTACTTTTTCCTTGTCAATAAATTTTAATGTTTTTGGTAATTTTTTTAAATACATGATCCATGTTGTTCCTTCACATAAGTATAGTATGTATACATTACAGTCCCTTAATTTTTTTTCTTGTTCTGCTGTTTGCACAATTATATTCATAATATGTCCCTTAATTTTTTCTTTTTTGAGTATTATTTTTTCAGGATGACGACCCCAACTCTTGTTATGGTCTGAAGCAAAAGTTATATAAGCATTGGTTAGATGTTTATTGCAGATCTGGAGGAAATGATTTTCATTCATCTAGAGAAAGATTGTTCTTCTCCCTGTGTGAGTCCCCAATTTGACTTGCACTGGCTACTTGTTATTGCGATGGCTTGATCTATATCATTAAGCTCTACATGTCCCCACTTAATTCCCACTATCTTAAATAGTTGCTATGATTTTAATTTTTTTATTGGAGCTGGTGGGGTTCAATCTCCCAACTTTGTTCCAAAAACACACCTCGATAATTGTGCAACTGTGGAATTTTAATGCTAAATATGTCCTTATAAACTTGACATGATTTTATCTGACATTTTCTTATGGAGCTTTTGAACAAGAAAATTAATCTGTACTAAGGTTAAATCGGAATACTGAAAGTGCAAATTATGATTCATTCCTATTCTTCATTAGTGGAACTTCAGCATCCATGAGGCTTTATTAATTGACCGTATGAAATGTCATATGTACAGTAAGGGATATACTGGAAGAAGTGGGCATGATATACCAGCATTAATGATATCTTATTTCTAAATACTTGATTGTTTTTTGTATGGAAAATAATTCTATCCATAAACATTCATTTCAATTTTCTTGAGTGGTAAGCTTCTTACAACTTCTATTGTTTTGTCATTTTTGGTAACCTTACCTATGGTTTACCTTTTTATCATTTTTCCTTATCCCGATATCAAAACAAAGGGGAAAAATGTATAGTTTTTAGCGAAGTGACATCTTCGCTGGTTTGTAGTTTATCCAGATTGTCTTCTATTTTTATATATAGTGTATCCAGATTTTGTCTTCTTTTTTTATTTATTTATTCTCTCTTTATCCTAATTTGTAATCATGAAGTTTCTTAAGTTTGCAATTGTAGTATGGGTTGACTCATTTTGGATATTTTGTGTTTATGTCGATGTGTACACGTTCCTCAGTCAACAGCTATCGGGATATATTGCACTGCAACAAAAAGCCCTTTTATCACAGAGGCTCTACAGAAGACTCAAATGTCATGGATGCATACATTATGCAGTGTGTATGTGCTTGTTCCTATTCCTTGAAAAATATCAATATCTTTATGTTCTATTTTAGAAATTGTCATCTTATAATAATTAATTATATGCAGCTGAATCATGTCTTCAAAACTAGAGATCTTGTAACCAAGAATGATGCAAAAGTGTCCAAGCTTCGAGAAACTGCTAATAATGAAATTCCTACTGATGATAGTTTCCTGGACCATGGATTTACTCGTCCTAAGGTATACAAGTGTGATGTTCTTGTTATAAATATACTGGACTTGGATTCCTCATAACAGTGTATATCGTTTTGATATCGTCATTCATATGATAGTGTATATCCTTTTTTTGTACAAGCCATGTAGTGTGTATCTTGTTTTATTTGGTGGAGAGGGAGTAGTGTATATCTTATTTGTGGTCCTATATGGGCACTGTGTTTCAAATTTGGGCACACTTGGTTCGGGAACCATGAACTACTATCTATTTATTGTAATTGTTGCAATTTGATTTTGTAAACATTGTATGGCTATACTTGTAGATCGTATCATCATTATGCTGCTTATAAAGTTATCTCTTGAATTAAAACGCATATCTCTAGTGTGGAGAAAAGAACATATATCTTCAAATGAGATATTGTAATTTGCATTTATAGTGAAGAGGATTTGCTTTATTTCTTTACCAGGTTTTGATCCTATTGCCAATGGCAAGCATTGCACTCCGTGTTGTTAAGAGGATAATACAACTTACTCCTTCAGCTCACAAGGTATTTCTTTTCATTTTTCTTCTTTTCTTGTACAAGCTATGCACTGGTTGATCTCCACAAATGTTGTATGTAAAAGTAATATGTGAAGATTTCTCTTGATGGTACTATGTGAGGTAGGTCAGATTTAATCCTTTAGTATGTTTGGACGAGGGTTGTGCCCCCGTTTCATGGACTATTTTGACCTTGCTCCCTGCACATTGCTTCTCTTTCTACCCTTGTTTAATTTTTCTTATAGAAACTTTCAATTTTATTCATTTATTTATTTAACTTTTGGCATCTCTGATAGTTTTGATTTAGGAGTTATACCCACAAACATGCCATCACTAGAAAATTATGCGGATCAGTTACCCTATGGACATAGAACCTCAGAATTTAGTAATGGATGACTCCTGTTAGTATAGGTTTGAGTATTTTGGGTGCCTTTCACTGTGTTTTGAGGGTGGTTGTCCCCTTGAGTATACACGGAGCCAATGTATCATTCTACATGGATGTGTATTGTCCGACATATCTCATATGCAGTTCCTCTACCCACAGACACATTTAAACAGATCCTTGATTGTGTAGAAGAATGCAAAGGATACAATTATTAGTCTGTTATTATCTGATGACACATGACTTCCAAGGGCATACTTCTTTAATTCCTTAGATGTTGATGTGTTTAGGGTTGTTGAGATTGTTCTTAGTTGAAGCTACATTGTTACATTCTGTTGCTTGAAAGCTCAATTATCAAGCATTCATCTTGGTAAACTTTGTACACCGTATATTAGTTGCTGAAGAAGATTCCAAACTTTATGCTAAATTTCTGCCAGAATCATTGTATGAATATGTCTACATCAATATTTCTGAGTTTTACTTGCATTCTCATAATCACATTTATCTATCAATTAATGAGGGTTTAGTCGAACCGTCAAGTCCGTGGTTTGCTCCCACGTGGTCTGGGGTCCAATTCCTAGAGGTAGCTGCCTACTATTTGCTATAGGAAACTCCCAAAGATTGTGGGCAGAGAACCAGTTTCAAATTCAAGTCCATGAATGAGTTTGGGAAATTGCTGGGTGTACAACAACAAAAGCCTTATCCCACTAAGTGGGGCTTACCTTATTCTTAATTAAAGGAAATGACGTGAGTAGTAGGCAGATTTACCTTATTCTTAATACCATATGTTCTCTTTCTCAGGTTAATGTGGAGCACATGGATAGATTTTCTAGAGAGTTCGGAACTGATGACCATGAGGATGAGAAAGAAATAACACCACCTGGCCTGGAAATTCTAAAACCTCACAAGTCTTCAAAGCCTAGTGATTTTCAAGTACTTTTTGGAGGCAATAGCAAGGATGACTTCATGGTTGGCATCAAGTTCACAAAGTAAGTTACTTTAACTTATAACGATGATTACCTATTTGAGACTTTTATAGTAAAGACCATCTGGTGAATAGTTGCTCTTATTGTTGCTTTACTAAGGGTATTCTGTAATCTTCTATGCAACGTGTATGTGGGATTTAACTTACAAGTATCTTGTGGCCTTTTAAGTAGATAGTATATCTTTGGTAGAACATGTAAGTTTTGAGCCTTAATGTAGGTGGACAATGTGAGCATCAACAGTTGATGTTTGGTTCTGGTGGTGGGTTTTAGAAGAGTTAGTGTTTGGTGATTAGGTACATTGTTCTTAAAATATATATAAGTGCAAAGCTTGTATGTAATTTATGTTTGTGGGTATATTGTACATAACGTATATATGCATGATGATATGTTTTATTATAGTACCTACAATTCCTCTCGTACCATCAAAGTTCAATTTAACACTAGGCTTCAATCAAAGTTAGTGCGACATTAGCAGCCAGCAAGGCACATGTCTCTTCCCGTCACTTGAATATTTTACTGAATCATTTTAGAAGCATTCTTCTGTGTGTGCTGAACTATTATGATATTGTTTAGCACCAATTTGTCTGTTAATGGTGTGGATGGCTTCATTGTATCTTGCAAAACTGTAATTGGAATTTTGAGGTTTTAGTGTTGGGTTTTCGGCTCAAAATTAGGATGATGCAATAAATTAGGTTTGTGTTACCTATTTGGTTTTGGTGTCCTATTTGGGTTTGGTTTTGAATTCTTAGTTAGTTTCCTTGGTGGAGAGATTTTGTTAATTATCAATTTGATTACGATTTGGATTTATTTCCTATTAGGATTCCTATTGTAACCTAAGTCCTATACACTATAAATAGGACCTTAGGGTTAGTGTATTTTGTGTGGCTCATTCGTGTGACAATTTGGTGAGAGTCAATTTGTGAGTTAGAGAGCAATTTGGGAGAATCTTCTCCGTTAGTTTTTGGGTTCTCTACTCGTTTGGTTTAGGGTTTGTAATTTGTGGGATTTGGGTTGTGAGAGTTTAAACACTCTTTTGTAATCTCCTTTTGTTTAGTGAAATTATTCGCCGTGCTTCGCCCGTGGAGTAGGCTTTATGCCAAACCACGTAAATCTCTTGTGTCAGTTTGAGATTGTTTGTTTTAGCTTTCACCTACGACGTTGATATTTGGTACTTTGTTATAATTCGCGTCCGTTTGCGCATAAAAGTACAACATTTAGATCTTTTGGCCGCAGTGCAACTTCAGCTACATATGATCCTTTAATGGCTACAAAGTCTTTTTAATCATTTTTTAATTGTGAATCATTAGTTAAAGTAATGAAGGATTATATTGGAATTTTGTGAAGTCATCCGCTTATGATGTTCTAACTTATTATGTTTTTTTTGGGTCCAAATTCTAACTTATTATGTTGAATGTAGAGTGATCAAAGAGTGCTAAAAGTTATATTCACTTTTGTTTGACAATTTCATGCTTTTTTTTTCTTGTTCAAAAAATATATTGGCGGACATTTAAACAGAGACAACATAGATTGAGATTTCAACTTGGTTTTTAATCTTTGCTTTGTAGGAGGAGCATAAAGCTGTACAGTGATTTCTATACCTCAGATATTATAGTTGCTTCTTCAGTTGGTTTGTTGAAAGTAAGTGATCAACTTTATTTTCACTTTCAATGTTCCTAATCTGATTTTTTCTACTGGTGACCTGTTATGAAACTACTACTGTACACCAGAATCTGAAAAAAAAAATTCCATTATTAATCTAATCCTAGAAGTCCATTTTTGTTATATCTTCCAATGTATTTCTTTGAGGCATTGCCTTTTTTTTTTTTTCTTTGTTACTTTCAGTGTAGTTAATTGGTAAGTAAGAAGTGCCTATCAATGGTTAATGTAAAGGCTTACATGACCACCTTTGGTCAACTTACTGTTTGTAGATGGATGCTGATTTAGATAAGGAAATTGTTGCACTTAGTGATTTAAATAGATGCAGTACAGTGATAATAATTTTTAAGAAGCAAAAAAGAAGGGTTTGAATTCTGTATTTAAGGGACACAAGAACTAGCTATGACTTCTTTTAGTCTTAGCATGCTTGGAACAGACGTATTACTTGGACTTTTGTATTACAGTTGGTTATCTAATGTCCCATAATTATTTGGATATATGCAGGCATGTATGTCTTCTAAAAAATTACTTTCTTTTATATCAGAGTAGTTAAGATTTGTTAAAATGGCACATTTGGCCTTCTTGCCCCTAAATAACAACAAGAAAACTGAAGGTTCCTGGGAAAGAAACTAAAAAGAATGGATAATTATATAATTGTCTCTAGTTTGTGTAACCACCTTTCCTATTGAAGCCACCAACTCCTTTGCAAGAATCATCTTAAAATGAAATACTTTTAAATATAGGAGTGTGAACTTTATCTATGTGTTCTAAGGTTGGAGGTTGGTCATTTGTTTACATTTGTAATTGGCTTACACTTCCTTTATATCTATAATAATGAGTCTGGACCTTTATTTTTACAGAAAATTGATGAGGCTAAATTAAATAAAGAAAAAGATGTCGACTATCTTTCTTCCATAGAGGTAATATATCTGACCAACATGTCAGTGTTTCGAAGTACGCTTGTATGCTTATTATGGGGTTTTTTTCCTATGCTTTGATGGTTCCCTTCCATTGATGGAGATATATGTTCTGATGTGGCAGGTTCTAGTTATTGATCATGCAGATGTTATAACGATGCAGGTAATAGTGTGATCAATTATCTACTTGAAATACATGGTGCTTGCAAAATTTATATCTTCTCTTTTCTGATAAAATATCCAGAACTGGGACTTTTTGAAGTCTGTTGTTGAACAATTGAACCACATACCATCTAAGCAGCATGGAACTGATGTCATGCGGATAAGACCGTGGTATGTTTTGCTGTCTATCTTTTCAAGTATTAACATTGTTTTGTGCCAGTCATGGCAATTTATCCTCACTATTAATAACAAAGTGCTTCCTATACAACCTAAATTGTTATGAACATCTCAAGAAGTAGAACTCATTATGAAAATGTTGTTTTCCGATTGGAAATTTGATTGTGAAGCTACTGATCTATATCACATGTCATGAAAACCAACTCAACAATGTTTTTCATGGTCAGGTACCTGGATGGATATGCACCTTTCTATAGGCAAACAATACTTTTGAGTTATTATTCAAATCCAGGTAAGATTTCTCCTTTTCTTTGATGGCAACTGTGAAATTTTTTTCTTTCTTTTATATTGATGTTCACTCGTGATAAAATTCAAAATTATAAGAAAATCAATAATATATGCATTCCAGTTCTTGATCAACCTTTAACCCGATGCTTTTTACTGCAGATATAAACAATTTGTTCAACAAGCACTGCAGTAATTACCATGGGAAGGTATATATAAAAATTAACAGTTAGAGCATGATTATTTGTTCAGTTTGTGCATATTTTTGGACTAGAAAGTATCTTTTATAGCTTTATATCTTCTCCTATGCTTTTGGGCTCTACCGTCCACTGATCGTACAATGGATTAAATGATATCAATAGAAAATATTTAATTAATTAAAAAAACTACATAAATTAATATAAAATGGCTGTTTGCCAACACATTGCAAAAGGAAAACTCTAATTTCTGTTTTCCTTCAAATATTCAGATTGGCAATGCTTATTTTATGGTTCACAAAATGCAAAAATTCTTAAATACTGAGTTTGTTATAACTATAGGTGAAGCTGGTACATGAACATAAAGGAGTTCTTCCTAAAGTGGTTCTTCAAGTCCGCCAGGTATAGGCATAAAACTTTATTTTGTGTTGATTTGTGGATGGTTTTGTGATATTTTTCACCCACTGAGATGCGTTAATGCTTCTATTAATTTATGTTGCATTAAAACATTAAAAAAAATGTAACTGTTACAGTGAAAATATATGGATCAAAGTGGATTGTACTTGGATTATAAAGCAATGTAAACGGAAAATAGCTGCATATGGTCCTGTGAGCATCCCACACATTTATTTAAAATGTCGTCCTTCAATTGCTCTTCATTGTATACCTTTTATCTCTCATGTGACTAATGTCCAATGGTTTTTTCTTTTCTGATTATTTTAGCTTCTATGTTTGTGTTTCATTACTTGAAATTCCTAGATTCTAGTTATTCTCTTGACTCATTTGACAATACCGTCAAAACTTAAAACAGTTCTCCTTCAAGTTGAGTTTATGTGCTTGTAAAACCATTTAATTTGTCTGGTTTGGAGGTCTTAACTGTCACATCCCGGGCTCGACTCCACCATAGCATGATATTGTCCACTTTGGGTCCCGACCTCGCCCTCACGGTTTTGTTTCTTGGAACTCACACGAGAACTTCCCAGTGGGTCACCCATCCTGGAAATGCTCTCGCTTGAACTCGCTTAACTTCGGAGTTCCGATGGAACCCGAAGCCAATGAGTTCCCAAAAGGCCTCGTGTTAGGTAGAGATAGGAATATACATATAAGGCTTACAAGATCCTCTCCCCTAGGCGATGTGGGATGTTACAATCCACCCCTCTTAGGAGCCTGACGTCCTCATCGGCACACTTCCGGCCAGGGATTGGCTCTAATTCCAGCTCGGGCCCCCACCACATCTCTGGCTCGACTCCGTCGTAGCACGATATTGTCCTCTTTGGGCCTCGACCACGCCCTCACGGTTTTGTTTCTGGAACTCACACGAGAATTTCCTAGTGGGTCACCCATCCTGGGAATGCTCTCGCCCGAACACGCTTAACTTCGGAGTTCCGATGGAACCCGAAGCCAGTGAGCTTCCAAAAAGCCTCGTGCTAGGTAGAGATGAGAATATACATATAAGGCTTACATGGTCCTCTCCCCTGAGCAATGTGGGATGTTACATTAACTGTCTATCTTCTAGTTTTCTTATGTGTCATCCTTTATTTCCCTTTCTTTACATAATTAGAATGCGAAATGTATTGTCTAAATAATATATCAATTTCTGTCAAGCTCTTTTCTTTAACTCTTGTTGCATGATAAAAACTTTGAGGAAGCTTAAGGTGGAAGAGTTGAAATGAAAACATGGAATCAATGATGTTCTTTATGAAGGAAGTTGAGGTTCCATCAAAAAAACCTGCATGAAGGAAATGAAGAGCCATCATAAACCAATGGCAATGTAGGGATAGCCCAACCTCTTATTCACACATAATGGGACTTAATAACCAATGATGTGGCAATGTATGCTAGGAGTTAGCCTATGAATGGAACAACATGTAAGTGAAACTTTCATTACAGTGGCAATTTTCTAATTGTTAACCAATGCATATGCCAATCAGTATCTTGCTTCATAAAACCTCTTAATTGGGGACAATTAATCTTTCAACAGTTCCTCATTCCATCAATGTGGGACTCATTTTCAACACGTCCCCTCATGTATGGCGAATTTTCAAGCCTAACACGTGGACAACACAACGGGGTGACGTGGAGTGCATGTGGCCGTTGGGCTTCACACGTGGGACAATTTCTCCTATTAAAGTGTTGGTTCCACCATAAAACCAATTGGCAATATAGGGAGTAGCCCAACCTCTTATAAGCCCATGTAAGGTCCCTCCTCCCATCAATGTGGGACTCATTCTCAACACTTTATTGATTTATGTTTTGACTTCATTCATTGAGAACCTGTCAGGAATATGGGTCACACAACATTGATGCTCTGAATTGTTCTTTTTCGTTTCCTGGTGTGATTTGAATATTTATTATGTTAGGAGAAGTGGCTACCTAGAAAAAAAAAAAATATAATGTATGTATCACTGTACTCAGTTTCTTCTTAAAGTGTAAGGAATTAGGTTGATTCCTTCATTATGTTTCAGATGGAATAACTTCCTCAGCTAATTCACTTTGTTACTTTTCAACCTTCCAGATTTATCAGCGGTTTGATGCAGATTCAATAGAACATTTTGATGATGCTCGTTTTGAATATTTTACTACAAAGGTTTGTTCTGTTTTCCAGGAGCGTCCTTAATTGCAAGAGACTTTATAGTTTGTTATTAAACAATTATAATTTGATTTCTAAATTGCTATAGTTCGACTTATTAAAGAAGGTCTCTATGACTTGTGGTTAGATACTTTGTTATTAATTTCATAGAACCATCTTGAAGAAGAATTCTCAGTGCCTGTTTGGTATCCTTCTTGGATCCAATTTTTTGTTGTAAAAAATGATGAATATAGCTAAATTACTTGATACCATTACTTTCAATAACAAAAAAGTTCAAGAAGGATAGCAAACAACCCCTTCATTTCTTTGAAAGATAAGTTTTAATTTTCAAGTTATAGTTCCTGCAGTTTTTGTGTTGTCAAATCTATGGAATTAAATAATTTTGTGCCAAGCCTTTTAGGAACATCAGGGCACTAGCAATAAACACTTATTCTTTGAATTCTGGAAGAGAAATGAAAAGTTTCTAGATAATAAGCCCATTCCATCTTTTTCGAATAAAAAAAAATATTCCATACTCTTAAAATAACCCCAAATCCTATCTCAATAGTCTATCTCCTGATACTTGCTAGAACGGATCTTAAAGAAATTATGGACAATTAATAAACCTCCTTGCGCTTGACTGTTTTTAAGTCTGTTCAGCATTGTGATCTTCTCTTCTTTATATAGCTCATCTAGGTGTCTCTTACTGGCTCCACGATATTAGAAATATGTGTTTGCGATTGTCAGATCATTTCGTTCAGTGTGTAGTTTGCTAAGTTCTTCCCAACCGTAGCATGAGGAGAGAGTCTCAGGTCTTGAGGTAGAGTATATTTGAACAGCCATTAATACTTTGTTTAAACAAAGATTATTTGTAGTCACACTAATTATTTTTCATTCTTGTCTTAGATGTCTTGTGTTTTTAGTATTTTTTCTTCTAACTGGAACCCTTTGTTTCAGGCACGTGTTTTTAACTTATTCATATCAGTTTCTATAGCTTTGTACCACTAAGTATTTCGATCGCTTGCTGGATTTTTTGAAAGTCAACAGAGTGCCTAAGTTTCTATTTTTGTTGTTTGTTTGTATCCATAATGTGTGTATTAAGTGTTGTGATGATCCTCGACATGTAGAATCTGTGTGGTTTAAATTCGTTGACCTTTGGGACGCGATTTTCTTGTGAGTTTAGAAGATCATTCAGCCAAAGTGGAATTTTCCTCACGAGGCTGCGTGTGCAACCAACACATATCTAAGCAGATTAAGGTATTTCCTTTTGAAGGAAAGCGGAAGATATGCAACTGCCTTTAATAGTACCACTGAGAGGAGACTCCACAATTTTTAGCGCGATAAAACAGAGATATATTTACTGCTCGCCTTACCCTATTAGGAGCCGCCTCCAAGCCACAAAGAGACATATAATTATACTTGTCAACCAATAGACTGTTGAATGTAGATATGTGTACCTTACCAGTCGATCAGTTGTTATATTCAGAGAGTATTTTTCCGCGATAGTTTGAGACAAATCAAGTTCATTTTGTAGGTAACCTACACGTTGCGACATATCCTTACAAGCGATATAATTTGTGTGTGAATAGATTCGTTTTGGTCATTTCACTAAGAATTTCCAAAATCACATAAATGTCTTCACCGCCTGTCCTGATGAGAGGAAATCCTACCTGAGACGGTTGGTGTCGCTTTAGGCTCGTATCTCCCTGTAAGAAGAACTTCAACTATTGGAGAGCATCAAGTTCACAACACTAATCTTCATCAACTATAACGTGCTACCTGAATATTTTTATATATTTCATTCTTGAGTGTAGATATCATCGTATCTCTTCACCCTCTTTGTATAAACTCAACGAGGTTATTTACTCGAATTACACAGGTCGTTCATAAATGCTTGATGGGTCCAATGACATGGCATGCACGCGGTCTGCTACTTTTCTCAATTCTGAGCGATTCTCACTCATTTCGGGTACAATGTTGTTCTCTTAGTAAGTGCATGTCTATGGATCGTCCTCTATTTAGCAGATCACTTTAGAGATCAGAGAGTACTCAAGGGGATAAGTTCAGCTGTTACTTTAGGTAGAAGTTATATGTGCAATTATGTTAAGACCTAGTGATGCAACTATATTTATGTTAGAGCAACTGGCCGGCGCCTTCTCATCAATTCTGAACTTAAACAGAAATATCCGAGAGACTATGCACATCATATAAAATTGTCGAACAGACAATATCTGTATCCGAACTATGACTACTTTGTATATTCTCCTGGTTGCGTACGTGTTTTGATACAACTGCACTGATGTATAAAGTCTGAAAGAAATGATATATTTTAAGCATATCGACATTTGCGAGCTGAGTTGTTTTTCGGGTGTTGATTCTTGATTATCGACCACAATGTAATTATCACACCGAACACATTGATATCTAGCCAAGTGTACTCTATACCTATTGTTTGTTTGTGACTCTATGTTAAATTAGCATTATCAGACATCGAGGAGGAAATCATGTGGAATTGTTTATGGGGACTTTAGGGTTGATCAGTTGTTGTTTTCTTTTCTAGTCTTGAGTTCGGTTGGCTGTAGTCACCGAAGACTTCCGGTTGAATTCAATTCTTGAATAATCTTCTCTATCATGGTGCTTTTAGAAAGAATCACCCATCTATAAAAAAAATTATATGCTAGGTGACGCTAGCTTTATATCCTGTTTTGTGATCACTTTGGTACGAGCTTTGACTTTTGGGAGTATTTTAAAACACCCTCGTCCGTTGCCGTTTTAGACGGAAAACACAACTTTAGTATCTATAGTTTCCTGGGTCACTCATTAGAATTCACTGAAGTTTACTCGGAGGCATTTTAACTAAGGGCTAATATCGTGTCATTAAACAGGAATTTTTTTTATAGAGCATTCTTTTCAGTATTAGTATTTCTCCTCTTTTTTAACATTTTAGTTCCCACCTCAAAAATGTTTCAATAATAGAGGTACACTGCATCGTACTTTTTGAGTTTTTTTTGTTTGATGTATTTAAAAATGCTGTAAATAACTTTGCTTTGAGCGAGGCAAATTGCCTCTATATCCCGACCTCAAGGGATTAGTGGCTGGCCCAAGTCGCTACCAAACGGTTTGTGAAGGGTTTTTGACGCTCTCTACAGAAATGTGCCCACCGGTTTTCGTGGTTTGTCTGGATACGTTAGCTGATCTTCTGCTGGTGGAGGACGGCATACTCGCGATAGGCGAACGATAAGTTCTCTTCAATTTCCTGAGTCTGGCAGGTCGAGAGCCAGCCCCACTAGCATATGTCCTTTTTTTGATGTATCTGGGGTGGGACTTGGCTGGAATGGGTAATTTCAAACAGCGGAGAATTGTAATTTTATTATTTATGGTTAGATATGGATTTGATAAGCATTAATGTTAAATACGACGGTATGAAATCCTTACTATCTCGATATTAATAGTAAAGAAAGTGTAGGGTCTTTATATTGGCAAAAGTGTTCTACATCACAGTTTTGGGACTTATTTATATTAATATCAAAACCAAATACGACGCAAATAAGAGTCTCAGGGTTAGATACATGTTAGTATACACATCCATTTCAAACATATTCAATAGTCATACCTAATAACATACAGGCACGGCGGAGGGCGTTACCAGATCATGACTCGGACAATTTTTGATGAGTAAATGAGGGAGGTTATACACTCAACAATACAATCTTACACTAGAATACAATTATCCGCGAGCAAGCTCTATAAACCAGGAGATTTAGATGTATATAAGATGGGACAAAGACTGTACATTGTGCTTTGCTATGTCGATCGCGGGGGGTACATGCCGACCGTGCGAGGTGTGTAAAAAGTAAGAGAACGTAAAACACTTCTCTTACCCTCTTTGGAGCCATAACATATTTTTCGGCATAAAGAAACTTCTAGTTCTCATATCTGAAAACAAACTTGCAGGCTTGTCTAGTCCACCCATGCCTTTGTCAACTAACAACATTGGATACACATTGCTCTGTAAATTGGGTGGGTGACCAGTTGGCTCGTGGAAATCAATTGTAATATAATGATCAGGTGAGTCAATTATTAAGTCACTACATCGTTCTTATAGTATCAAATCATATGCCCGATAAGCCATACTCACATCCATCCCCGAGTTATTTTTTCATAAAATTAGTAACTCCGTGACTCCTTTTACGGCCATTCTCACCTATTTCCCGACGCGGTGGTGCAGTTTCATTTAATCCCGGATTTAATGCAAACTAGGTTCCTCATGACTGCAATTCCAAACATTCCAATCCTACTATTTCGCGTTTCCGCAACAATTCAACTGCTTGACTTGAAATAGAGAGATAAATTGAAAATAAGTTATTTACACTACAATAAACCACTCATCTCGATTATTCGAGCTTTGACAGAAAATCCTGACTAACAATCCATCCCTATAGCAACACCAAACCCTTAATTTTAACGGATGTTTAACCAATGGGACGCAGCTCCTGATTTTGGGTCTCGAGCCTTGTGCGTAGCGGGGGAGGATTTGAGGGGAGAGAATGAAGAAATGTAATCGGATGTTTGGATCCTCTCCTGGCTAAGAAGACGTTCTGTTAGACACGTGGGCGTTGGCCATGAAATCCAACCACTCACACTTGGTTTTAAATTATTAATATATTTGATTTCATCTAACCAGGCTGTCCCGTATTCTTGTGTCCTTATGTTAGAGCATTGCAGGATGGGATTCCGTCGTGAGGTTAGTGGTTAGATGAGCTGAGAGAACTGAGGTTCGTAAGGAGGTGGTTAATAAATAAATAAAATCTATTGGTTAGTGGAAAAACTTTGAGAAGAGAATCTAAGAGAAAATAAGACTTAGAGTAATTAGAATCTAACGAGGAATGACACAGATCGAGCCTGGGTTCATCAGTCTATAGGGATCACCCGGCTCAGTGCACTTGGATTTTCCGTGCAGTGTAAGTTTCACTCTCGGAGAAATTAAAGTGAGGAACACACTCCCAACCTACATGCTTGAGCTTCTAACATACAACTTCCAAGAAAATTCAAAGAACTTAGCG